CTCGTGCTTCTAGTTCTCTTACATACATACATGTATACACATAACAAGAAATCCGCCGAACCCTTGGGGATAATTGGCGCGCGAAAAGCTCCCCCCTCCCCAAACGTCTCCCCCTGGAGCCTGGTCCGGTCGATTTGGAGGGGGGAGGGCAGTCCGGCCAAAGTTCACCAGGTGGGTCCGGCCCTCCCCGGGCTCCTTTTGGAGGTCCACGACAATTTCTGGCGCCGCCCAAGAGGCCTCCAAGACGATCCAAGAGATATATATATATATACATCTACATATACATATATGTATGTATATATATATATATATATATATATATATATATATAAATCTCCACGGTTCGCCAGCTCAAAGGCTCACCTGAAAACCGCGAAGCGGTGAAACAAGGGTGAAACGGAGGACGCGCTAAGCAACGCCCAAAAAGGAGGAGGAGGAGGAGGAGGAGGGTTACACCACCTCCAGGTCGTCAAGCGGAGGTGATGCTTCCAAAAGGAGCTCTGGGAGATCACCATGCTCGTTGAGCACAGCGAAGGCCACTGCATTTGCAAGGCCAACCCGAGCAAACCTCACCAGCGATGCATCAAGCCTAAAGTGAATCCGCGTTGGGTTCGTGAATGCCGAGCCCGTTGTCGCGCGAGGGCTGGTATAAGGTTCATTGCTTGCGCACCCCATCTACCAAACACTTCACATCCTAGGCAATACAAAATTCCCAATCCACTCTCCGAGGCCTCCCTGTATGTACGACTGTCTTCAGTTTCGGCTTCTTCAAATAAGCGCCCCCCCTGGTTACTCGTGCCAAGTCGTGCAGAACCAATCGTAGTAATGGGTGACACCACCGTGACGTCGCAAAATACCGGTAAACCTTGTGCAATGTGTAACCCAATCACAATAATGTCCAAGCGTCGGTTGTCGTGCCTGAGGACAGGAAGGAACATGCCCGCAACACCTGGCGCCAAGCAATAACCAATCCCGAGTGCCGTCCATGCTATCGCACCCCTCTGCTCTCGTTCAATCTCGCGTGCCCATGCGGGTCAGGGCTGTCGAAAAGCACTGCGATACCCAAACGCCGTCGCATAACACACTGAAATTTGTCGTTATGTATCCGTAGATTGCATGTGGTCGGGGACACAATCAACCATACAGAGGAATACGGACTTGCGCAAGAGTAGAGCCGGGCATTGCCCGATCCAAGAGTGCTCCGAGATGCCGAAAAATCGTTCCGAAACGCTTTTCTTGCGCCACGAGATCGTTCCAAGACGCCTAAGATCGTTTCAAATTCCTTTAGGGAAACGCGCATTCCTAGCACATACGATTTTTCTGCCTTCACAACGCGGAAACCCTTCTAAAATGCCTGCAAGACCGCCTTTGGGGGTGTCTGGACGCCTTTTTGGAGCCTCTTGTGGCCGCCTGGGGGCCTCTAGGGCGGACGGCTGGAATATTTATTTCGTGGTTCCTCTTTTGCGCCCCTCCTCCCTCCTGGGGCCGTCTTGGAGCCCTTTTGGGTCGTTTTGGACGCCTCGTGTGCCGTGTTGGGCTTCTTGGGAGCCCATGGGGACGGCCCCATAGGCTCGCAAACCGAAACGAATTACATCATATTCTTTGGTAGCGGAGGTAACCCGGTCGCCGGAAATCATATCTCCGGAATGAACTTAAGGCGTTTGTGCACTAGATGCGTTCCACAAGCACGTCTTGCATTCCATTGTTGGTTGTTATATGTCCATTATTGTCGCCAATTCGATATACCTGGAATCGGACTGGCCGCGGATGCCGAAACCGTCGTGGTGGGAGTCGACGTGCGAGATGTACTGTATCGAAACCGCTGTTTTGGGGGACGATGTCGGACCCGCATCTGGAATCCGCATTGCTCTACGGAATGGTCTTCGCAAGGGATTAGTATAAATGGAGATGGAGATGGACAAAGGGGAGGAGGAAGAGGAGGAAGAAAGGAACTTTTCATTCACCGTTGCCCCACCTCGACCTCCGCGAACGCCGGGGTCGTCTCGAATTGAGTACTTGGCATGTCTCCCATGGGTCGTGAATTAGCCCATGCCAGTGTTGAGCTCACGCAACTGTTGATTACAAACTAACGCTCAATATGCCCCACCATCGGTGTGGGGTTCAAAAATTCTGCCCCGCCGAATTCTGCGATGCAATATTTCGTCAAAGGGCATAGTGTAGCAAAAGTAACTACATTTTTGGCAGCGCTACTTTTTCACAATCCTTTATCGGTGCACTAAGTTTGAAGCAACCCCATCGTCTTGTTGATTCGTTCGGTTTGTTCGGGAAGACGGCTTTTCCAATTTTTGGTTCCACATCTGGCCCGACCCGTGGTATCCTGAGAACCGCGTTGGTTTGGTAATGCGGGCTCCTTCGAGCAGCCAGGGTCCGCTCGGGGTGTCACCTGCCCGCGGGGCCGACGAATGCCGCTGTGCGGGGCTGTATGCTTTCTTGAACGGGTGGTTTTTGCGTCCGCTGTGTGATTTATCACGCTGCAGCGCAACAACAACATTCCGTCAATGCCATTCCGCAGCGGTGCAAGCAACAATTTGGGCGGCAAATTGTTCAATCGTTTTCAATGCGAATGCGACATGCAAAACGGTGCATGCTGCGACCGGACCGTCCACAGCCACGTGGCGCACGGGGGCCCATTATACTTGTGCTGTGCGGTGTGGGCTGCAAACAGGTGGTGCGTGCGTCGTCAAATTGTCATTCGACGGTCCACTCAGCCACGTGGCGCATGGGTGCCTACTGTGCTTGTGCGTTGCGGTGCAGGCTGCAAACTTGTGGTTCCTCGTCCATTCTGTTTTTGTTTAACTATATTTCGCCACCTCCGTCCCTGCGTCCCGCCCTTCCTCCTCCTCTCTCCCCCCTGCCCCGCTTCCCCCCTCTCCCCCTCTCCCCCCCCTCTCTCTGCTCTTCCCTTCTCTCGTCCTCTCTCCCCCTCTTCGACCTCGGAGGAATTGGACGAGAGGCCGATGCAGGAGAATGGGCAATTTGGCATTTGCGCCCCCGGTGGGCCGTCGAAACACAAGCTGGCCATTGCAAAAAGAGTTGTGCCAGACGAACGCTCCGCGAGGGTAACCGCGCTCATGAGTAGGGAAGACGAGAACGACCTCCCCAACCTCATCGGTGCTCCTATAACATTAAAGTCACGTGCGGCGCCCAATGTTCCGCAGGGTCCGCCACTGACGCATTCTTATTAATGCGACGCTCCGCCGGCGCCTTCGGCCGGGCAGCGCCGCCGTCTGTGTATCCACGGGGCTCGAGCATGATGTTGGAAACACCGGCGGAGGCGCATCCCTGTCTATCCTGTAAACTTGAAGATATCCAGAGTGCCGATGCCAGGGCAATATGGGTGGATCAGATCAAGGGGCTCCGCTTGAACGTGGATCTCCTGCGTGCCTTGGGCGCGCGGCCGGAGCTGTTAAACCAGTGGGAACACGGCGTTCATGTAAACATTGAACACCTGTCACTTACAAACTTCGTCGACGACAATTTCGGTTCCACCGCGTCTTCCGATAAAGCTTCGGGCAAATTTGAAGTGATAATCCGTTTCTTTCTCAAAGTCGGCATCCTTGCGTCGACGAAGCCTTCGGGCCTCAGGCCCCCTGCCCAGAGACAAATTTGGGTGCTGTGCGGAATGCGGTTTCAGCGGAGCGGAATAAATGCGATAAATAAGACTTCCTTCGTGAGGTGCTCTCGGCCGATGTTGCCGGCAAGCTGCTGGCCCAGGACCTCGCCGCAGCAGCGGGCTTGGCAAATCATATCGCCGAGGTTTTCTTGCAAGGCCGATGCCGTTTATTCCACGTGTGGGCCGTCTTGAACGACCACGCCGTTTACGCGTTGTGGTCGTGTCGCCCTGGGCCGAACCCCGTGGTCACCTTGAGCGCCGAAGCGCGGTCCGCTTTGGAATGGTGGCTCTGGGCCTTAGACGTTACACCGGATGGGCCGCTCCACGGCGAAACTGGGTACCTCTCTTTTTCATGGGACCAAAGTCTCCAAAATTCACAGAGTGGCAGAGGTTAGCGGCTGGAGGTTGCCTTCGCGCGATTGAGACCGACGCTAGGAAACTGCACGGTTGGTCTTACATTCTGTGCAGCGGTGGTATTTTGCGGTACAACGTTTGGCCAGCCGATTCCTAGAGCCGTGCTCCTACGTCTGAGTTCAGAATCATTTAAACAAGTTTTGGGTCGCCGCGGAATGCGTCAAGCGTGAAGCTGCGCGGTTGCGTGGCTGGCGCGTGGTTTGCCGAATCGACAACACAACGGCGATTCATGATGTGAATTTCCAGGCCGGTCGAAAAAATGACTTAGTGAACCTGGCCGAGGAGCTCAAGTTAGCGAAACGTGTTGCAAGCTGTTGGTGCTTAGCCGTGCACTTGGCCGGCTCAGCCAACGTGATCGCAGACGCCGGGTCTCGGGACGCACGGTTTGCTGAGCGTTGGAATGACGACCCGTTCCGGGACGCTGTCTTCCAGCACCGCGTGATGGCGCAAGTAATGCGGAAACGCAACCGCCGCGTTCGCTTGTTGGGCAGGCTCTTTCCTTCTTGTCTAGATCCCTGGATCACGGTCGGTGCAGCAAAGCATTCTGCGTCGTACCTAAAGACGCCGGGCCCCCTTGGCACCAACCGGCCGTCCTCCGTTCTTGGAGGCGGCGGGCTCGATGGACAGCCGGGTCCGAAAAGACTGACTTGCCCATCCTTCTGCTTCCCAAACCGTGAGCGCCCGGTCCTGAAACGCGTTCTCATCTTCATCTCGTCGCAGCGTTGTGCGGCAGTCCTTCGGGCCTCTTCGGGTCGCCGCGGGTGCACCGCAGCCGTCGGTGCTCAAACCTTACCGCACCCACTTCAAGTCAACGTAGCACCCGCCCAACTTCCGCAACATAGCGGCCCCTGTCGCCTCGGATGCTCTCGGCGAGGCTGCCGCCACTGCGTGGCTTCGGGCGGCTATCGCCCAAGATGGCGCTCTCGCGGACGTGTTTTCACGCGCTGTCAAGGCAGCCGCGCCGCGCAGGCAGACCTCGCCAACGCCGTCGGCGGTATCCCGCTCGCATGCGCGGCGGCCGCGGACCCGATCCAGCAGGGCGCCGAGAACCAGGACAAGGTCATCGAAGCGCTCCAGGCGCGCGCGGTTGCCGCGGAGGCCTGCTTGCAGGTGCACGAGAAGGCCGACCAAGACCTGGACGCGGCGTTCTCGTGGCGCCAGTGCGAGCGGGAGACGGGCCCGGGATCCCGGCTGGCCGCCTGGCGCCGCTTGTTTGTCGAGGACTGGCTCGCCAACGCTGCTGATCAGATGCGCGACCCTGCGACGGCCAACGCTGTCGGGGCGTGCGTGGCGAACCCCAACAACCCCGAGGTCGAGAAGCTCAAGCAAGCCATCAGCTTGCGGAGCGCTCCGAAAACGTCTCTTAAGGGTTTGCGCCTCTCGACGCAAGGGGGCGGCTAAGACCGTTTCTGGGCGTTTCTGTTTGAAAAGGCCGCTTCCACCGGTGACAAGCTCGTGGCCGCAGTGGCTAAGAAGGCCCTCGGGTTCTTCCTCTGGCTGGAGAACCAATACGTGCCCTGGGCTACAGCGAAACCAATATCGTCGGCCAACATTGCCGCGCAGAAGGCGGAAATGATGCCGATTGTCTTCGCAACCGTGAAGGCCATGAAGCTCCATGCCAAGAAGGCCATCGCCCGGGTCGAGCTCGAGCACATCATGCTGCATGGACAGAAGGGCTTCCAATTGGACTGGTCTCTGGCCCTGTCCAGGCTGGCGGCCGCCCCGTTCGCCGTCTCTGCCGGGCCTCCCTTGGCAGCCATCGCCGCCGACCCATCCGGTCCGCCAGAGCCGCTGCCACGACGATGCGAGCACGTGTGCGTCTCGGGTGCCTGCGAGCGGGCCCTCTGCGAGTGGTGGAGCGCGCTGGGCGACGCAGAGCTCGGAGAGCCTCGGGCCTCCTGGCAGATTCTCGAGCAAAAACTCTCCCCGCAGGCACGGAACACTCAACAGAAGGTCAGGGGGCTCCTGAGAAGCCACGCGCCTCCGCAGAAGGCCTGCCCCCTGGTTCGCTTCCCCCCTTGGGAGCGCCGCCGACGCCAACAGAAAAACACGCATACCGCATGCCGCAGGGGCCACGCAAACTGCGCGAACGAGGCATCTGGCCAGGATGCCGACCTCGCGGCAAAACGAGGCACCAAACTGGGAAGACAAGGGCACACGTGCCTCTGCTGATGCCTGGTCTGGTACATGAGTCTGGTACCGCTAGTCTGGTACATGAGTCTGGTACCGCTAGTCTGGTAAATTTGTCTGGCACATTAGGCTGGTACATTAGTCTGGCACATTAGTCTGGTACATTAGTCTGGTACATTAGTCTGGTACATTAGTCTGGTACATTAGTCTGGTGCATTAGCCTGGTACATCAGTCTGGTACATTAGCTTGGTACATCAGTCTGGTACATTAGTCTGGTACCACGCTTACGGTTAAGAACCCACTGCTTACGGTTAAGACCTCCTCTTCCTCGAAAGTGGCGACAGTTTCGCAGATCGCAGCACCCCAGGGACGGCGAGGTCTCGCTCAGGTCCGCGCGGTGCCTCACTCCGCTGGACCCACCAGCAGCCCTCGAAAGTGGCGACAGTTTCGCAGATCGCAGCATCCCAGGGACAGCGAGGTCTCGCTCAGGTCCGCGCGGTGCCTCACTCCGCTGCACCCCCCAGCAGCCCTCGAAAGTGGCGACAATTTCGCAGATCGCAGCCCCCCTGGAACGGCGAGGTCTCGCTCAGGTCCGCGCGGTGCCTCACTCCGCTGGACCCACCAGCAGCCCTCGAAAGTGGCGACAGTTTCGCAGATCGCAGCACCCCAGGGACGGCGAGGTCTCGCTCAGGTCCGCGCGGTGCCTCACTCCGCAGAACCCACCAGCAGCCCTCGAAAGTGGCGACAGTTTCGCAGATCGCAGCCCCCATCGTCGGCGAAGAGAGGGCAGGAGGAGGCGGGAGGCGGGAGGAGGAGGAGGAGGAGGAGGAGGAGGAGGAGGAGGAAGAGGAGGAGGAGGAGGGACGCGACCACAGTGCTCTATTCAAAACGAATACCCCACCAAGGAGGGTTGGGAAAAAGCGATTATACGTCATGTGTTTGAGCTGCTGTGTTTCTACAGTCGGGCCGCTGAAAGAAGGAACGTTAAATAAGAGACGAAGCCCCTTCTTGGCCCTGTGAGCGCCTCCGTGCCCCAGGAGGGCAAGAGGAACCACACTGGAGGAACCTAAGGAACATCGAGCCCCTTCCGAACCCAAACTGTTCCTTAGTTTAGCGTCTCGACTGTATATCGTGCGCGCACCAGGGCGCCCCTGCGGGGTCTGCAGGCCTCACCTGGGCCCAAGTCGCCACGGCGGTGCCCCACGAGCGGGCGAAGAACGGGCGCAATGCCCCAAGAGCGCGGATCAATGCGCGTCAGGCCTCAGGATCTGGCCCTTGCGGGGCCGCGACGAGCCCGCCGAAGGGGACCGACCTGAGGTCCAGAGCTGAGATCTGGACCTGAAGTCCGGACCTGGGGCCCGGACTTGAGGTCCAGAGCGGAGGTCCGGACCTGAGGTCCAGACCTGAGGTCCAGAGCTGAGGTCCAGACCTGGGGCCCGGACCTGAGATCCGGAGTTGAGGTCCAGACCTGGACTTCAGACTCCCATTCCAGAAAGCAGACCTCGACCCCCATGCCCCTCCTGTAACGCACTGCGCGCCAACCTTTCGATCACCCGAACCGGACCGCCCGAAACTGAACCGTCCCGAAGCAAAACCGAACTGGCTCAAACCGAACTATATAGCGAACCCGAACATGCTACAACCGAAGCGGCCCGCTGCCGAATCGACCCGAACCGGCCCCATGCTGCGAAAGTGAGAGACGCAAGCGAAAGCGGAAAGCGGGAGGCGAAAGCGAAAGCGGGAGGCGAAATTGGGAGGCGAAAGCGAAAGCGGGAGGCGAAAGCGAAAGCGGAAGGCGAAAGTGGGAGGCGAAAGCGGGAGGGGAAAGCGAAAGTGGGAGGCGAAAACGACAGCGGGAGGCGAAAGGAGGCGAAAGTGGGAGGCGAAAGCGAAAGCGGGAGGCGAAGGAAGGCGAAAGTGGGGGACGAAAGCGAAAGCGGGAGGCGAAAGCGAAAGCGGTAGGCGAAAGTGGAAGTCGAAAGCGGATCGCCTCCCATTTTCGCTTCTGCTACTTGTCGTGAATTTGTCTCGATCTTGTCGTGTCTGGGTGCTTCCTGGTCGTGTTTGGGTCCTCCTTGTCGCGTTTGGGTCCTCCCCTTCCCGCGCGCCCTCCCGTTTCTCACCCGCGCCCTGTGCGGCTCGCCCCTGGCTCAGAGGTACAAGCCATCGCATCTGTCGCCCCAGGCGGATTTCAGGGCCTGCGCGCCGTCGTCGCCGATGCCGTTGCGGGCCAGGTCCAGGTCTCGCAGGGCGCCCATGGAGGGCAGCGCCTTCGCCAGGGCCTGCGCGCCGTCGTCGCCGATGCCGTTGCGGGCCAGGTCCAGGTCTCGCAGGGCGCCCATGGAGGGCAGCGCCTTCGCCAGGGCCTGCGCGCCGTCGTCGCCGATGCCGTTGCTGGCCAGGTGCAGGTCTCGCAGGGCGCCCATGGAGGGCAGCGCCTTCGCCAGGGCCTGCGCGCCGTCGTCGCCGATGCCGTTGCGGGCCAGGTCCAGGTCTCGCAGGGCGCCCATGGAGGGCAGCGCCTTCGCCAGGGCCTGCGCGCCGTCGTCGCCGATGCCGTTGCTGGCCAGGCTCAGCCTCCGCAGGGCGCCCATGGAGGGCAGCGCCTTCGCCAGGGCCTGCGCGGCCGGGTCGCCGATGTTGCAATTGTTCAGGTCCAGGTTCTCCAGGCGGGCGCACAGCCGCAGGCAGCCTGCGAGCCCCGCGACCTGCGCGGGGGTCGGGGGCGGCATCCCGTCGAAGTCCAGACTCGTCACGCCGCCCAGCTGCGCGCGGCTCATCCGCCGGAAGAGCGCCTTCACCGCCTCCCGGTCCGCGCCGTTGGTGAAGGACCTGTCCTTGATGAGCCGGTCGAACTCGTCCGGGCCCACCGGCCACCTCCTCCCGGCCTTCGTCACCCCCGCCCCTCCCCCAAGGTCGGCAACGGCGTCCCACTTCGCCTCCCAACGGTAGACCTTCTTGATCTGCTCCGCGGAGCAACGCTCGTACGTTGTCCAGCCCGACTGGTCGTAGCCACACTCGCGCTCGCTGCCTCGCTCGCGGGGGTGCTGGGTGAGCAGGAGGACGGTAGTGGCTTGGTGGGCGTACCACAGGTCCATCGTCTCCTGCAGCCCATGTTTGAACGCGGCCTTCTCGGCGGGGGTACGCTTGGCCTCGTCCGCGGCCTTCTGCGCGTCCTTCTGGGTTTTTCCTTGCCGCAGGGCGGCGGCCTTCGCCTCATCGGCCTTGTCGGGGTCGCCCTGCAGCAGCGAGGGCCAGTCCCAGAAGACGCCCATGTCGCTGAACCCCTGAAAGTCATTCATTCTCTGGAGTACTTGTGGCGCTCCTGCTCCAGGGTGTCTATCACCAAGCTCAGCTGCACCCCATTGGGGTCGGGATGCTCGCGTGAGTCCCAGCAGAACGAGATGGTGATGATCGGCGCCACCTTGTCCTTTCCTCCTCGCCCGCTGGCTTCCCAAATGGCCCGCAGCTCGCCGGCGGACACGAACGCCTCCTCTGGCAGCTCCTGGCGCCTCTTCAGGACCGTGCCGCGCTGCTGCAGAAGCCACGACATGCGGACCAAGCGCACTGGGTGAAGGCCCTCCACGGTGAACGCAAGAGCGTCGAAGAGGCTCGTGGCGTCTGTGTACCGCGTCAGGTCGAAAGACTGGCGGGAGGCCATGTCGAAAGACTGGCGGGAGGCCATGCAGCACCCCATCGTGTCGGCGCGGGGGGCTGGCTTGCAGAGGCAGGAGGGCGCTCGCGCCTGCTTCCAGACCTGCGTCCACCCGTGGAAGCTTGAGCCCAAGCGCTCACGAGGATCGTGGCCCGTGGGGAGCTCCACCGAGGGTGGCCAGTTGCAGGGTTCGTATGGCGGCCCCACTCCATTTTGGCGCACCTCTCACGGGTATCGTGGCCCCATAGGGGAGCCCCACCGAGGGCGCGCTCCGCCATCCAAGCGCTTCCGGGGCTGGAGCAGCAGCAGTGGGTCCTTGACCGCCCCGGCAGCTGTGCCCCAGGGGCCCCGGGGCTCCGGGGGCGGCTTCCCTCCGCCACCGCCGCCGGCGGCTGTCACTCCAGGTGGCAGGGGCGGGGGCTCCAAGAAGAGGGGCCTCGAGCACGTGATCGCTCGTATCGAGTTCTCTGGCATCACTCGTCGGCCTGGGCGTGTAGGTGGCGGGTCCTCTGACGTGTTTGTGGACGATTTCGGGGGCCTCTGTGAGGCTGGTCTGTCGATCCGCCAGGTTAACAGTCACTGCACGATGGCCGACGTAGCTGCTGGTCGCATCAGCAGGCGTGATCGATTTGGAAGTTTTCAGGCCGACTTGTGGGCCAAACACGCGTGTCAGCGTGCGCGCGCCCCTGTTCTGGACAGGCGCAGAATGCAGCAGGCTGAGCAAGTCGTTGAGCGGGTGGATTGTAGGATCGGGGAGGTGGGTGCGCCCGTGGACGAGCGCGACACCACGCACGCTGCGCGTCGCATGCGTGCGCTACATGCTGTGCCGCCGTTGCTAGGTGTGCACCCACGGCCCTCGCACAATTTTGTTGGGCCTGCCTCTCGCCGCTGGTGCACGGTCTGCCGGCCCGTTGGCCCCCGCCTCGTCGGTCTGCGGAGGTTCGATGGCCACGAGAGCGGTGGATGCCAATCGCCAGGTAGGTGTGCGAGGCGATGGGAGGCACAGGCTCGTCATGTTCGAGGTGGAGCCAGAGCTGCTGGAGGCCGCCCACCCCGTTGACAGCCTTTCCTCCTCCTCCTCCTCCGCCTCCTCCTCTCCTTCCTCAACCCCTTCATCCTCTTCTTGGTGCGGAAGCGCACCGTTTCTGGTTGGCATGGTCGAATAAGACTGCGCCCCGACGGCGGATCGCCAGACCCGATCACCAGGAACTTGGAGCTCCAGGGAGGGGGCTTTGAGGGATCAGAGAGGGAGGACAGGGTGGCGAAGTTGGCGGAAGAGGACGGAGATGAGGGAGCAGAAATGGAGGGGGAAGACGGAGGACATCCTCCGCGCCGACTCACTTCTAAAGCAGTTCTCCTGGCAGAACATGCTGTTGCGAAGCTAGACGCGGCAGATGCAGGGAAGGCCCTTCGGTCGCGCTCAGTCGTCGAAGCTCTTTCTTCAGCGCTGCCATGCGATTCGCCTGTCTCGGTCTCGCCTCTCTTGATCTCCCCCATCCTCTCTAGGAACGGCTCCACGAACCTTCCTGATTTGCCCCGCTACTCCGTGAACTTGATACACTCCTGATACCTCCGTCGGCATCATCTCGACGGGGCACTCGCAACCGCGGCTCGTGCCACTGGGCTGGCGAGCCGAAAACAGACCTGGCACTCTCGCATAACGAGAACGCCGATCACTTCAGCTGATCACTTCCGCCATCGCCTCCTGGACTCATGTGGCTGTGCTGCATGGGTGGCTACCACATGACGCGCCAATGTCAGCATGCCCGGCTCGACGTAGCACATGCCCACCCTGTAGTCTGCGTAGCCCCCATTTCGCTGGTGACGGACACCACCGGCGGGCGGGTTGGGCTTCCCCTCAACGGAACGCTTCTGGAGATACAGTCTGACGAAGCCCCCCTCGGAGTGGTACCTCGGTGGCTAGGAGCTGGTTTGCGGCCACCCCAGGGAATACACAAACAAGAGGGTACTTGAACCCACGACCCCACGTTTCAGGTCGGGGGGGCAAGGCGTAAGGTCACGATTCGCAGGCTTATGGCACCGGGGCCGATCGCGCGAACATCAACTCGGCGTTTTGCTTTAGCGTTCGTGTGCGTGTGACACGGCGTCAAGTCCGCCAAATACGCAATGCCGTGAGCCAGCCTCGCTTCAGCTCCAGTGTGCGCAGCATCGACCCGGCTTCGCGCGCCGCGCCCTGCGATGTGTGCGACCCGCGAAGATCTTCGCGCCCTCGCGGGGTCGCCAGCTCTCCGGCCCAGGTCGCGGCGCGCGAAGCGCGATCACCTTCGCGCCCCTGGGCGTGGCCCAGGAAGCCTCCCTGGAGGCCTCCAGAGGGCCACAAGCGCTCGCAGAGCTCGAACGACCCCTCGACCCTGCTCGAGGGCACTCGTCATAGTACGCGTGGGGGGGCTTCAGGACCGCGGTCGGCAAGCTCTCCCACACGACGTGCCGTGCCGGGTCGAGCTCTAGGTAGGCCCCGTGGTCGCCGTACACAACCCGCGTGTACCCGGTGGCCACGAGGCAACTCGGGTTCGACGCGTCGTGCAGCTCCACATCTCCGCCATCCTGTGGGGAGCGGAAATGCTGATGCCGCCACTCCCTGGACCTCTCCCAAGGCGACGAGGGCCACCCAGGATCCCCAAACAGGCGGAAACGAGGGAAGGGTATCGTGATCGGTATGCTTGCCCACACTTCAAATTTTCCGATCCAGATCGGTCCCTGGACCCCTTTCTGGGCTTCACCCCGGCCAGTCCTTCACTCTGGATCATTCCCTGGCGGCCCCAGGGCCTGAAATAGGCCCCTGGACGCCCGAAGCGACGGAATAACCTAGATGTAGGTCGGGCCTGTCCCCCTACAGGAGGATTTTGGGTGATACATAAAACATACTTCATAAAAGTATCCCCCACATGGGCAACAATAGTAAAGAAATCGTCCCCAGGCTATTTTTTGACTATTTTTGAATATTCCTCCTGCAGAGGGACAGGCCCTACTTAAACCTAGATCCTCGAATCTCGTTCGCCTCCGACGTCCTCGCTCAGGCCGAGCTCGCCCTCCACGCGGGCCTTGTCCCTGAGCCGGTTCCAGCAATCCGCCGAGGAGCTGCCCAGGCCGCACGCGTCGCCGGCCCCCTCCGCGGGGGTGTGCAGGGCCCGCGGGCCGCCACCTCCGTCGGCGGGCAGCTCCGCCTCTCCGCCTTCCTCGCCCGGGCCGAGCTCGCCCTCTCGGGTGCGCTGAGGTGGGGGGAGGAGGGAGGGAGGAGGGAGGAGGAGGGGGCCAGGAGGAAAGGGGCGCCGTCAAGAAGCGGGGGAGCGAGGACTCCAGGGGGGGGGATCTCGTGGCCGAGGCCACGAAGCCTCCCAGAGCTCACTCCTCCTCCTCCATCGTCCTCCTCGCTCTCCTCCTCCTCCTCCTCCTCCTCCTCCTCCTCCTCCCTCCTCCTCCTCCTCTCCTCCTCCTCCTCCTCCTCCTCCTCCTCCTCCTCCTCCTCCTCCTCTCCTCCTCCTCTCCTCCTCCTCCTCCTCCTCCTCCTCCTCCTCCTCCTCCTCCTCCTCCCTCCTCTCTCTCCTCCTCCTCCTCCCTCCTCTCCTCCTCCTCTCCTCCTCCCTCCTCCTCCTCCTCCTCCTCCTCCTCCTCCTCTCATCCTCCTCCTCCTCCTCCTCCTCCTCCCTCCTCCTCCTCCTCCTCCTCCTCCTCCTCCTCAGTCCTCCTCCTCCTCCTCCACTGGGCGAGCGGGGGTCGATGCACTCCTCACCGGACCCCCTCCCCTGACGGTTTCCGGACCACAGCTCGGCCCTCCGGCGGCCGTGCGGGACGATCCGGGCACCCCGAGGAGCGCCCTCGGCGAGGCGCAGCTGCCGCATTTTTTGTTTCCCCCACAAGCAGTCCTCGCGGCCATGCTTGGTTAATATATCCTCTGGCGTGCTGTGGTCAGGCCACAGCGACATCCACCACGCAAGGGCTCACAAAAAACGTCGCCGCAAACCGACGGGAGCGTCCGAAAAGCTCGGACCTCAAACCTCGAACCTCGAAGCCTCGTCCTCCCCTGAGCCTATCCCCCGTCCCCCGCGCAGCATGCCGCGGGCCACGATGCGCTGACTCCCACAGCCAAGCGGCGCACGAGGGGGCGGCCGACGACCAGAAGGTGGTAGCCAAAAAGTATTCAACAGTTGTCCAGAATAGAAAAGTCGAAAAATCGCCCCAAGACTACTTTTAAGCTGTTCTTGCATATTTCTCCTGCAGAAGGACGTGCCCGACTTAATCTTAGAAAGGCCCTGAATTGACCCCCCCCGAACGTGAAGCCGGTGCCGCCTCCTTCGGCGGCGGAGCGCGTCACTCTCGTGTGGCAGCAGGGCTCGGGGTTCTTCTGACCCGGGTCAATCCAGACCCGGGTCAATCAGGCCTTGCAGAATCCTGCAAGATCCTGCGCCCAAACCCGGGTCAGTGCGAAGGATCCTGCAAGATCCTGCTCCCAAGCCCGGGTCAGCGCGACCCTGGCCCTGCAAGATCCTGCAAGATCGAGCGCTCTGGCTGACCCCGTTTGCATTGACCCCCGTCTCTTGAGTCCCGAGGGGCCTCTTCGTGTACGCCGCCGGAAAGCTTCTCGGAGCAGGACGAGCTGAGATAGCGGCGGCTCAGGATCAGTCCCCGGGCCCCTGCTGGGGTCCAAACGCATCAGTTTTCCGAGCTGCGTCCAGCCCTGGCGACGAGGCCCCCCCCCGAAGGCCAACCACGGCTGTTAGAGGAACACGAGGCGCCATAGCATAATCCCACCAGCCCTCTGGGCGTAGGTGGTCTAGGGAGGCTCCTTTTCCAAGCAGGGGTTTATCAAGGTTCCCTATCAAGATACACCCCCTCCCCCAGGCGACCGGCAGCCAATCAGGAACAATGAGGGCCACCCCCCCCCACCATCCCTATCAAAACAACAATACAAAACGCACTCTGCCGCCACATGTAGAGCATGCGCGGCCAACCCGTTGCGCCCCTCCCACCATCCCTTTCAAAAACCATACAAAGTACACATTGGGGCAAAGTCTTGAGTCATGTTCGTGAGGCGCGCGAGCACTTTGTATTGTTTTTGACAGGGACGGCGCGGGGTCAGCATATTGCCTGCTGTTCGCAGGGCTACCATTCGCAACAACAAGCAGTACCAAATGCACCTCGCGGCTCAATCTGGATCATGCGCGGCCACCCCGCGATCAGTGTCAAGTGGTTTTTGACAGGGACGGCGGGGGTGGCGACGTATGGCCTGCTGTGCGCAGGCCCACCAGACACAATGATTGACACTGGCTTTCGACATGGATGGTGGGGGCCGACGTGTTTCCCGATGTGTGCTGGCACGTGCGCAGGCGCACCTGACGCACTCTGCACGTGCCCCGAACGTGGCGCACCTGGCGCGGCTGGAGTATGCGGCACACCTGGCGCACACGGAGCACGTGGCGCATCTGGCGCACCAGGCGTGTCTGGCACGCTCGGGCCCCAGGGATGCCTGGCGCGCGTGGCGCGCTTTGCGCACCTCGCCCCCGCGCACATGGGGTCGGTGTTGGTTCCCAGTAGCTGCCCATCCAAAGACGACCGCTGAACGTGCTGAGGCTCGGGTGTTAATTATGTGGGATGTCTTGATCACTGTTCCCTATTCAGATACACCCCCTCCCCCAGGCGACTGGCAGCCAACCAGGAACAATGAGGGCCCCCCCCACCATCCCTGTCAAAACAACAATGCAAAACGCACTTTGCCTGCACATTTGGAGCATGCGCGGCCAACCCGACGCGCCCCCCCCACCATCCGTGCCAAAAACAAATTTAAATACAAGTTGGGACCGCGTCTCGAATCATGTACGTGAGGCGCGCGAACAGTTTGTATTGGCTTTTGACAGGGACGGCGGGGGTCAACATATTGCCTGCTGCGCGCAGGGCTACCATCCCTGGCAACAAAAAATACACAATTCACCTCGCGGCTCTATCTGGATCATGCGCGGCCACCCCGCGATCACTGTCAAGTAGTGGCGTGTGGCCTACTGTGCGCAGGCCCACCAGACACAATGATTGACATTGGCTTTCGACATGGATGATGGGGGCCGACGTGTTTCCCGATGTGTGCTGTCACGTGCGCAGGCGCACCTGACGCACTGGCCCGAACGTGGCGCACCTGGCGCGGCTGGAGTATGCGGCACACCTGGCGCGCACGGAGCACGTGGCGCATCTGGCGCACCAGGCGTGTCTGGCACGCTCGGGCCCAAGGGATGACTGGCGCGCGTGGCGTGTTAGGCACGCTTGGCGCTCCTCGCCCAAGTGTCGCGCACATGGGGTCGGTTTTGGTTCCCAGTAGCTGTCCATCCAAAGGCGACCGCTGAGCGTGCTGAGGCTCGGGCGCTACTTATGTGTTGGGAGGGCGGGTGGGATGAGCAAGACTGCTTGCGGGCGGGTGGGTAGCTTGACCCCTCCCCCGACCGCCTCCCTTGGATCTGGAGGGGGGTTTCGCGCGCGGTCAGAGCATCTAAGACGGGCCCAGATGTCTCCCAGAGGGCGTCAGAAAGCCCAAGATGACTTCCAAGACGGCCCCAAATAGCCCGAGATGGCTCAATATGGCTCCCAAGATACTCCAAGAAGCCCTAAGACCGCTCCGAGACGGCTCCAGGTGGCCACGGAGCCTCCCCAGGAGGCTGCCAAGAGGCCAAACCCTTCAACGACCTGAGGAAAATCAATGTCTTGGGCCCAAGACGGGACTTTTGGGGCTCCCGAGAGAGGAACGTAACTGGAGCTCCCACTTGTTTTGATCGATCTCCTCCAAGATGGCCCAGGGAGGCGAGGGAAGGGGGAGAGGCGGGCAACTATGGCCGGACCCAGGACCGAAGAACATCCTGCAAGAGCATGAGACCCTGCGCCAACCAAACTGAAGAATATTCGAAGGCACCCTCTCCCAAAATGCACAAGAACATCAAACAGACACGAAGAACATTTTGGTACACTCCCCGAACCGTGTTCGATTGTATACCTCGGTCCGATCGTAGTGCGTCCTGTTTTTCTCGTGCGAACTGCCGCAGTGTCAAGTACTCCCCGATGATCGCCTCATCATCTCTGAGACCCTCCCTCCTCCTCCTCCTCCTCCTCCTCCTCCTCCTCCTCCTCCATCACTTTTCCCTATGATACGCCTCCCACGAGCATGCGGGCAAGTGCCAACGAACTACCCAAGAGGGCCTTAAGGGGAGGCTACGAAGAGCCAGTTCGAGCTCTCTGCCCCGAGACGCCCATGACTGCTCACGCAGCACCTCAAAGAAACTACCACAACCTATCAGCGCCGCAATGGCAACGATCACGCGGGCAAATGCCCGCGAAGGAGTTCTCCTCCTCGTCCTCCTCCTCCTCCTCCTGCTGCTTACCCTCTCTCTTCCTCTCCCTCGTGCTCGCTCGAGGCTTTCCACGACGGCTGGGGGAGCACACAGCCCAACAGCTTGGCCAGACGTTGGCTAAAGGGCTGGCCACAGGTGCGCTTCCAGCATGCCGAGGGGGCGGTGGTGGTTCGCCGTGGGCGTCTTCGATCCGCCGCCCCTGTGGCCTGCGGAGGGGGTGCAGGCGTGCCAAACAGAATAGCTCGTTTCGTGTGGCCAATAACTACCAGCCTCGAACGTATCCCTATCCCTAAGATTGACACGCCAAAAGGCGATGACAATCTTAGGGATTCGCCCTCAAAAAATAAGGGAATCCCTAAGATTGGCACCTCCCCTCCCGCTTCTTCCGCGCCGCAGCTCGTTTTCGGAACGCCCTTCCCAACGCTGACCAGCACCTGCACTGGCCTCGTGCCCGCTTGTGCCCGCGGGTCAGAAAGGTAACCAGCATGTTTCCAAGGCTCCTCGGCCCAGCCCGCCAACTGCGTGTCTCGTGTCCTTGAGGCCGTCAAGGTAGGCCCCGGGGCCCCCAAGACGGCCTCCTAAGGCGGCAGAAGGCCAGAGAGCATCCTAAGACGGCACAAGAGAGCACTAAGGTGGCCCAAGAGGGGCCCCAAGAGGCCCTTGAAAGGCCCCACTTGGCTGAAACGAGCCTTAAGATGGCCCCAGAGCCCCCAATGGTTTCCCTCAGCGGGGAACGCGCAGTCCACTGGCATGGCCGCACCTTCGCTCAACATTTTACCATACAAGCGTCTCCTTAAAAACATCGGGCGGCGGTGGTTCGCCGTAGGCGTCTTCGATCACTGCGTTCGTCCGTTTGTCATGCCATCCTGACAATTTGTTTAACGATAACCTTCCCCGTGTGTACGTACGTGTACGTGTGAATGTGCGCGCACACGTATGCACGTCGGCGTACGCATGCGCTTACGTGCGCACTTGAGGAGAAGGCGGCGGGAGACACGAATAAAACAAACATGGACTGGATCTACGCGGAAAGACACGTAACACCGCATACATGATAATCCAGAGGATGGAGCAGGAACTCCGCACTGCGAGGATGTGCCATCAGAAGTGATGATCCGCTGCCATGAGGGAGAGGGGTCCTGGTCGAACGGGGTCCGGGACCCCGGGGCTCTCCGCCGAACCAGCTCTTCACCCCGAGCCGTTCTCTGACCGCCCCCAGCGCCAGGGATGGGGCTCCGAAGGGGCCGAATCCTCCTCCTCCTCCTCCTCCTCCTCCTCCGAAGATGGCGAAGAGCCTCAGGGCCCTTCCCGCCAGGGCCCCACATCTCGAGGACGTGCCGTCGGAGGCGCTACCCACTTCGAGCAAAGCTAGCCGAGACAACGGAGGCTCGAAGTCGGTCCCCTGACCTCTTCCATGGTCCGATCGCACCAATTTGAAGGGGCCCCAGGACACACAAATAAGTACACACACAACAAAATACAAATATTTTCTTATTTTTTGTGGTTTTTGTCTTCCCCCCACTTCCCATATTTTTGCATCTTTTCCTGGGAGTCGACGATTCATTGTGTCTGTGTGCTTCTTCCCCTCCTGACACTGTCCAGAGCTGCGTCCAGCCGTGGCGACGAAGGGCCCCTCCGGAGGCCGAGCTGCCGCTGCCTCGAACGGCCCTCCTCTGAAACCACTGTGGGCGTCGTCCAAGACTGGCGGTGTTCGAGCCGTGACCCGGGCCTCCGGCAGCCGCTCAGGTAAAACAGGGCCAGGATCGGGATAAATCGCTCCAGAGCGTTCCGGAGCGCTCTCAGAGCGTTCCGGAACGCTCTGGAGCGGCCGCGGCGCCCAATACGTCCTCCAAACCCGCCGATTCTCAGAGATTTCGAGTTATCCCGATCCGATTTTGTCCCGATCTTCGCGTCGTTTTATCAAGACCATCCGGGCTCCCCTGGAACGCTCTCGGCGAGGCGCAGCGGATGGAACGCATCCCGACGCCGAACTGCCGCTGCCTTGATTGGCCCTCCTTGACGGCGCGCACAAGGGGGCGGAGGGAAGGGGGAGGGCTTCTTGAAAGATGGCGGCTTCTTAGGAGGCGCCGGCCCTATTCCTATAGATAATGCCCGCGCCTTCTAAAAGCAGGGGTGCTTCCGAGAAGCCCTCCCCCTTCCCCCCCCCTCCCTGGCGCATGGCTGACCTCCTCCGACCCGTGTCTTCGACCCGCGGGCACCCCCACGAGTCAGAGGGCCAATTGCATCGAGTTCCCTCTTGGTCAGACCTCCCTCGCGCTGATCGCCACGCGAGGGGAATCGAAGACAGGCGCATCTTCATTGGCTCGTGAAGTCTTTGTTGTCCACTTTCTCAAGAGGTGTGCCCGCCCAACTCGGGGGCGCGCAGAGATGGATAAGCGATCCATGGGCCGCCTCGTTCGGCGGCGGAAGTCCGCGATTTTTTCCATGGAAACGGGACCCGTCGCTAATCCACGCCCCCCTGATCCATGTTTGCGATCGCCTGACCAATACGTCCACGGTGCCGCGCGCTTGCCGTGCCCCTGGCCGCCGGCCTCTGCCGCGGCGCCCGTCGGCGCCCCGGCGCAGGCCCGCGCGCCCTCCGCGGCGGCCGCGCGCCCGCAGGGGGCCCGCGCCGCGTTGGCGCCATCGCGCCCTCGGCGGCCGCGGGCCGCGGCGGTGGGCACGGGCCGCGGCCGCGGCGGCAGCAGTGGGTCGGGCTCCCTCCCCCTCCTCCGTCTCCTCCTCCTTCTCCTCCTCCTCCTCCTCCTCCTCCTCCTCCTCCTCCTCCTCCCTCTCCTCCTCCTTGTCTGCCGTAGCCATTTTGGCTCAAGCTGCCGCCCCGGCTCGAGGCTTTGGGAGCAGGTGTCAGACACCTGCGAGCCTCGACCGCCGCCGGGCAGCTGCCATGCGCGCCGGCCGCCTCGCCTCGCCCTGCCCAGGCGAGTGGAGGGCTAGCCGCGCGCGACGAGGCTTCTCCGGCCGGCGCTGCTGCAGCCAGCCGAGGCCGGACCTCCGTGCCCCTGCGCGGAGACTCGGCTACGCGGCCCGCGTCGGCCGCCGCCCGCACATGCAGGACGTCGCCGCGCTGGTCGCCGCGCTGGTTCGCCGTCCCGTTCTGCTTTCACCTGCTGTGCGGCAGCATGACGTGCCGCCAGCGGACTACCATCCACGTGTGCTACTTCGCGACCACGATACCGGTCCTGTACATGCAGATGGTGATGCTGCGGGTGCCCAGGTGGCCGAGGCCGCATGGTGCTGGCTGCCCGGAGCGCTGCCGCCCCCGGCGCCCAGCGCGCCGATCTGGTGGCCCTCGCCGCCGCCGCCGAGGCTGACGACGCTGAGTGCCGCCGATCTGCCATTGGTCGGGCCGCCGCCGATGTGGTGGCCGACGCTGCCGCCTGTCTGCGCCACGAAGGGCGAGACGCAGGCGGACGGCGAGTTCCCCGACGGCGTCGAGAAGTTGGAGTCCGCGGTCGTCGGCGCAATGCAGGCTTCAGGCACTGATGGCCGTCCTCCTGCGCACCTTCCTGCTGGAGAGGATCCAAGTCCTGCAGGTGGCGACGGTCGGGAGCAGCCGATCGTCCTCGGGTTTGGCGGCTTCCTCGTGCAGCAGGTGACGGCTGAGGCACAGGCCACCGCCGATGTCGTGTCCTTTGATGCCATGTGCCAGGCGACGGCATGCCGGAGTGCGTGGCCCAGACGCCGCGCCGCCGCTGCGCGCGGTGCCGGAGAGGGTCAGCCGCGCGTCGACGCGGCGTTCGACGAGGTGGTCGCCGAGGCCGCCGCGGATGCAGCGACGACGCCCGATGCCACAGAGGTTGCTCCTCCGGCATTCGGGATGAGCCGGCCGCCGCAGCACGCGGCCGACCGCGTGGACGAGGCCCGCGCCGCGGCTGCTGCTGCTCTTGTGCAGCTTGCTGAGAGCCAAATGGTCGCTGGTGCCCCTGAGCCTGCACCGCCTGCGGCTGCTCTGCCTCGGCCGTCGGCGATGGAGAGGCTGCCGCGGGTGCCGCGGGTGCCGCAAGCCGAGACTCTGCGAGCCGATGCTGCCTCAGAGGCTGTTCCTCCTGAGGCTGCTCCGCCCACGGCTGCTCCGTCTACGGCGATGCAGAGGGTGCAGCGCGTGCAGCCTACCACGGACATCCAGGCGGCGGACGGCGCGGTCCGCCTCCTTAAGCAGCAGCTGTCCAGGGTAGAGACCGTGCTGTACTGGAGGGAGAAGGCGGCCCCATCCACCCCGCAGGTGCAGGACTTCCGGAGTCGGGCGTGCGAGCTGCGGCGCCTGGTGGATGAGGCCGTCGGGCGGCGGGCCGCGCTGGACTCTGGAGGCTCCTCCGGCGCCCCCTCCGTGCAGGCTCGGGCCACTGCTACCGCCGAGACGGCCCCGGTGCCGCAGAGGAGTGCTGCCGCCGCTGTCGGGCCCTGCTCGAACGCCAGCTACCCACCGCCCGCGGCCTTCGCCGTCCCGAGGCAGGCGGCCCGCGAGCCGTTGTGGCAACGGATTGCACCTGCAAAGTTTGCAGCCCCTAGTGGGCCACCGCCGCTGCCGGCAGTTGCGCCTCGACCAGAGGCTCCCGCACCGTCATCGGCTCCTTCGCAGCTAGAGCGTTGCTGAGCTGCGCGTGCATGCAGATATTTGCTCTGTATGACATGTAATTACGACATACTGTTTATGTCAGATCCCCTCCCTCTTCGGCTAGCGCGAAGGTAATCGTCTTGTTTGCCTCCGCCGTCGTCGTTCGTCCGTGTCGCGAGGGTGTGAAGATGTCCTTCCCCCGTCCAGGTACGGTGTTCTGGCGGTTATCGACTACGGAGGCATTGCTGTCTCGTAGACGAGGGCCGGCGAGCGAGAGAGGCGAGGGACGATCGCGAGTCTGCGCCTTTGCCCCATGAGTCGCCGTCTCACGGCTCAGTCGTTGAGAGCCGGAGGATGCAAGCCTGCGTCCCAGCCTCATTACTTCGTGCTCTACACTTTCACCATCGAGTGGCCCGCTGGCGGCCCAGCTGCTGGCCTAGGAGAGGAGGAGGTGGAGGAGAGGAGGACGTTCGGAGGGGCTTGCAGGGAGTGCGTATTTCTGAAGGAGACGTGGTCTGTGTCCCAGCCTTTCCTCCTCCCTCTGCTCCCTCACATATCCCTCCCTCCCTCCCGTCCGCCTCCAGCCTTTGCGCCCGGAGGGGCCGATGTCACGACATCACGAGAGCAGGAGAGTTTCGGTATGTGTCCCAGCCTTCTCCCTAGCTCTCTTCCGCGTCACGAGAGCAGGAGGAATTCGGTATGTGTCCCAGCCCTCTTTCTCCCTCTCGTTATTCACATCATATACCCTCCCTCCCACCCCTCACCCCCCCCGATGGACGGGGCTTCTTTGTGCCGCCGCCGCCGCTGCCAGCCTCGCCGAGCATGGAGTGCCCATGGCGCAGAGAGGTTGTGTTCGCCAGCATGGCCGGAGGACATGTGGGAGGATCGGGATGGGCATGGTGGAGGGCTTTACTGACTGAACTTGCGTTCTTGGTGCCCGTGCAGATGACCCTGTCTAAGAGCCCTCTGCTAGTAGCAGCGCCGCCCTTCTCTGACCGTCGCCAGGCGAATCAGATGCGCAATCCAAAAATCCTCCTTGTCCTCCTCGTCCTCCTCGTCCTCCTCCTCCTCCTGCTCCTCCTCCTCCTCCTCCTCCTACTCCTCCTCCCCCTGCCATGCCGCCCGCGATTTGTCGAGGCGGCGTCGCGCCCTGCTTGTGAGGACGGGCCGCCTGGCATGGAGCAGGCGGGCCCCGAGGGAAGCGGGTCCGAGGCCCCTGGGGCCTTCCCCCTGGACCAGCCTTGCCCGCCACGGGCCAATGTCAGACGATCCCGGGCCTCTGGGGAGGGTCGGCCAGGGCTCGACCGAAGCAGGTCTTCCCGTGTTCGTGCTGGTTTCGTATTCCCTCGTTCCGCCTTCGCTGCGCTCCTGCGCCGCGCCACCGAGATGGGCACCCAGCAGCGCATGCCTCGGCAGCGAGCAGGAAAGGTGGCATGGGATCGCCATTTCCGCGCGTAGTTTCTTCCTCTTTTTGCGCATGCGGCACGCTCGCTCATCTTTCAGGCCATGGTTCACTGCATGAGCTTGCCTATATATACACATATATGTGTATATATACACAGCATATGATAATGTGTAAATATATGTGTGTATGTATGTATGTATGTATGTATGTATGTATGTATGTATGTATGTAGGTAGGTAGGTAGGTAGGTAGGTAGGTAGGTATGTAGGTAGGTAGGTAGGTATGCATGCATGCATGCATGTATGTATGTATGTATGTAGGTGTGTATGTATATACATAATCTATGATATATATATATATATATATATATATGGCAGGCCGGCTCGAGTGGTGTTCGTAGTTGGCCTGGTGACCTTTTGGTTCGCACAACGGTCGAAGCCCAGTCGGGTGAAGTTCAATGTTCGCGTTCCCTCCTCTTTCTCCTCATCCTCCTCCTCTTTTTTTCCTCCCCCAACAAAACAAGGAATCATGAGATATTCCCAGGTTTTGCCTGCTCCTCCGCGCGGACTCCAAAGACGAGGGGTGGCAAGTCACTCGGGAACTCCGGGAACGCGTCCTGAGGCAGCCACATAACGACACCGCTCTGGCCCTGACTGCCGCGCGGGGTGCGCGAGCAGGATGGGCTCCGCGGGCGACGCCTTGGCGCACCGCGTATGGGTGCAGCGTGCTGCGTTGGCGTCTCCTGAAGGGCGTTGCTTCCCCACCAAGGCAGGAATGGTACGCTGCATCGTTTTCCGGCCCTCGGAGCTGAACAACTACACGCAACACGGCTTTGGAGTTCGGCCTCGAGGGAGTCCAGCCGTGGAACGGTGCATGGGCGCCGCTCTCGTGAGGATCGGCAGGGAACCGCCACCTCCCCGCATCGGCCCGCGCCCGTCGGGGCGGCACCAAACCCCTCCGAGAGCAGGGCTCTGACCGAACGGTCCTTCGGCAATTTCTAAGGCCGCTGCCGTTTTGACGTCGTGTTCTGGCCCCACAGTGTCTTCAAGTGGCTTCCAAAGAGGCTCCCAGAGCGAAAGGCTCGAAATTGCTTTGTCGTCGTCATCGTCGTCGCTATCGTCTCCATCTTCCTCGCTCATCCTTCTTCTTTCTCCGTTTCCTCATCCTCCTCATCCCACAGATTCGTCCTCCTCTTCCTCTCCTCTTACCACTTCGTCCCTCCCTCCTTCCCTCCTCCTCCGTTTCCTCCTCCTCCCTCCTACTGTTTCCACAGGGGCTGCCCCCAATTTGTCCCCCTGCATGCTTGTACACTTCGTGCACTGCAGCCCCTGCCTCAGCCCCTGGGTGTGGCTGCGGCGCCTCCCCGCGCCCGCTGCCGCGGGTGCAGCACCGGTTGGCCGCCCCAGCCACTCCACGGCGACACACCTCGCCATGTGAATATCCCCCCCTCTCTCTCCACCCTCGCGGCCGCTCTCGCCGGTTCCTCCCTCCTGTTGAGTTGCACTTTCCGCTGTCCAGACCGCCTGAGCGACCGCGCGTGCGGACTGCCGCTGCCTGGCTGGGACGTGAAAAAGCTTGTGCACTTCTCTGATCCAGGGAACTTGCCCAATTGGTAGTTGCTTTGGGATGGGCTGGTGGGGATATGCGAAATTTCAAGTCGTGTTGAAGTGCT